GAGGATAGATCGTCAAGAGTGTTTATGTCTATATTGGGACTATATTGTCGCTCGGTGTTCATACTTAAGTTCAGGTTGTCTTCGTGACTTATTTGAAATATTTTGCTCCAATATTTCCTGAATTCAGGTTCTTGTTCTTTGGGTTCGGTTAATTTGATTTGGTTGCTGTTTAGAATGTTGTTTCATTTTTCGCTTGAATTGTTTCAGGTTGTGGTAATTTGCTTGTGTCTGTTATTAGTTTCTCCCAGTTATTCACGTATGCTTCTTTGGACGTGTTTCTTCGTTGTTCGTGTATGGTGTTATATTGTCTTCTGTATTCTGGCGTCCATCCTTGTTCTATGATTAATTTTGTTAAGTTACTGAATTGTGTCTTTAGAATTCTTGCTTGGTGTGAGTTTTGAGGGTGTCGTAATGTACGGTGAGTGGTCTTGGGTATGTGGTGTTCCATTGCTTGGCTCACGTTTTTGTACCATATGTCTAGTGTGTTGTCTATTTGGGAGGTGTGTTTGTTGTGTAGTTGGGTGATTTGATGATTGATTAACTCCTTTTTGAATTCATCCCAGTTGGACCGGCTGTAGCTGTATCTACTGCTGCTGCTTACGCGTAGCCCCCAACCTCCCCTTATAGCCACACCTTCGCTACCATTTACTACTACTACAACGCCATGTTCGTTGGTAAAAAAAAGTATATGTAGATTAGCAAGGGCAGAAATAAGCTTTCTTTGGAGGAAAACACGTGGTGCTTAGTGTTGAATTAGGCGAATGAATGAGTGTATGAGTGTAATCTTGCTTGCTTTAGGCGTGATAACTTCCCAGCATAGTGAAAGGATATCATGATGACATTTTGTGTTTTTGTTGATACCTTTAACCATATAATTAAGCACGAGTTGGTTGTACTCCTCTGAGACTCAGGATGATGGGTGGTGGTGGTGGTGGTGGCAGGGGGTCGAGGGCCACCGAAGGCTGGATTCTTGTGAAAGGTGTGGGAATTCTTGCGTCGCCAGGTGAAGGGGACCATAAACGCCCCTCACATTCCGTATCCACGTCTTTGACTTTGTTTCGCTTCAGGGGTGTCAGAAAATGTTGATGCGGGAGTGTCTTTCTATGCTTTTGTCTTTGGGGTTTTAAGACGACAGGGAGGATTTCTTATAGCGTCTTGTGAGTTTCATAGAATAAAGAGACAGTGATAAAACGTTTTAGTATGAAGAGGAAGTGTAAGAGCGTTTATCTTAGCAGAGTATCGCTAGAATTTCCCAGTTGTTGCGAAGCCAAGCCTTGTAATTTAGTGGAATATGACAATTTACTTTTATTGTGTGTAGAGGAGCTTCTCCCTGCACATTGTGAGCCTCATGTAGGAAGCTCCTTGGTTCTCTCTCTGACTCTTTGTCCGCTGTTGTCATAATTCTTCTGTGTCTTCTTCATTACTCGTGCCCCCTTGCCTCACCCCTGCTACCTACACCACCCCTTCCTCCCCCAGTGTCTCTTTTACCCCCTGCACCACCCCTTCCTCCCTCAGTGTCTCTTTTACCCCCTGCACCACCCCTGCTACCTACACCACCCCTTCCTCTCCCAGTGTCTCTTTTACCCCCTGCACCACCCCTTCCTCCCCAGTGTCTCTTTTACCCCCTGCACCACCCCTTCCTCCCCAGTGTCTCTTTTACCCCCTGCACCACCCCTGCTACCTACACCACCTTCCTCTCCCAGTGTCTCTTTACCCCTGCACCACCCCTTCCTCTCCCAGTGTCTCTTTACCCCTGCACCACCCCTGCTACCTACACCACCCCTTCCTCTCCCAGTGTCTCTTTTACCCCCTGCACCACCCCTTCCTCCCTCAGTGTCTTTACCCTCCTGCACCCCCTGCCTACCACCACCCCTTCCTCCCCCAGTGTCTCTCTTACCCCCTGCACCACCCCTGCCTCCCTCAGTGCCCCTCTTGCCCCTGCACCTACCCTTCTACCTATACTGGTATTGGATGAAGGGAGACAAGAAGCCGTGGGGGCACAGGTATGACTGGCCGGCTGACGACCACTCACCTGGACAACAAAAACAGTGATCGTCTCTGTTACTACGTGTCTGGCCGCCCCTCCCCGCCGCCACCGTCCCTCTCCGCTTCCACCATCATTTAGGAAATCAACCTGCCTTCCTGATTTACGACAGTCCTCTGGTTAAGTTTAATTGAGCCAGTGTTTATAACTTTCTCTCTCTCTGCCAGTTGTCGGCTTATAGTGCTTATGACTGCTGGCTCGTCATGTACTCGTTTGAGGCTGTACCTTAGTGGTTGTTTGTCTCGCTTGTCGGTAATATACTTGTCACTATCAGGCAGTCATTTGTTTACACGCCTTGTGACCATAGTAGAGACATTTGTTAATTGGGCTTTTGTCCAGCATGAGAAGTGACACATTGTATTTCTGTTGTTTACTGAGCAGAAATTTATAACTAAACATCATTCACAAGTTAGTACTTATTAGTTTATCAGTATATCTCCTGCAGTTGTTGCCTCATTAGTATGCTTCATGCAGTGTGTGTGCTTCTGAGTGCTTCTCACTGTTGAGTCATCATTTCTATAACTGTCAAGTGTGCATACTTCTATAACAAGGCGGATCTTGCATGAAGAATATTTATATATATAGGAAGAATATTTAGTAAGAGAGTAAAAGAGAGAGGAAGATTTTGGTAGCGTGGCCGTGATAGATATTTACACTTATCGTACACTTATCTTATATGTCAATACACATCTATTACGTCTTAAGGGCGACTTCTCAAACACCACTTCGTTACAACTCTTTATTAATTACGACAATGACATGGACACATTAATAACACCTTCTATTGAAGTTACTAGGACACTATATTTACGTTACTAGGACATCATATTACGTTACTAGACACTCTGATTCTCGGACACGAACATGAAATGAATACACTTCCCACGTAAGTAACTCATCCCATGGAAAGCTCTGACAAAAACTCATGTGACCTAGGGGAAGGCCTAGCAGGGAGACTGCTTAGCTGGAACACTGGTGTCGGGAGGGCGACTGCTTAGCTGGGACACCGGAGGGAAGTCGGGGAGGGAAGTCCTGCATGACTCTCCTCCCGTGAGCGGGACTCGGCTGTGGTGGACCTCCTCCTCCGATCCCTGTGTGTCTCTCTGTCTGACTCCCTCTCGCCGCTCCCCTGAGGGAGGGCTACGAGCGGGACTCGGGACGTGGTAGCTGGCCCTTCTTGGTTACAAGACACACTCTCTCTCTGTCTCTCTCTCTCTGGGGAGAGGGAGGACTAGGACGTCCTATATATTGGGAGGTGAGCCGTCAGGTTGAGCTGATCGGGGGCGGCGGCGAAGGGTCTTCTTACATTTGCCCTCGCTAATGTAGGGTCAGGTCTGGACTTTTTCAGAGACTATAAGTTGTATATTCTGGAGAAATCTTCAGATGGGGCCGTGTGACATGAGAGGCCCTGGTTGATTTGTGGCTCGAGGGTTACATTTGACCTGGCTAATGTGAGGTCAGGTCTGGACTTCTTCTGCGGTGTAGGTTATTGTGTATATTGGGAGAGAGTCGGCCGGTGCCTTCTTACATGTTTGTTGGGGCAGTGTGACATGGGAGGGGAGCCAGTTGATTTGTAACTCCTTGAGTGGTCGCGAGGTTTACCCTTACATTTGACCCCCCTAATGTCGGGTCAAGTCTGGATTGTTTCTGAGATGTAAGCTGTGGTCTGACAACCCATCACTACACTTCACTGTGCTCGTCAGGAAGTGTGTTGTAATCTCAGTGTCCTCTCATATTGCTGCTGCCGTGATGGAAGGAGGCAACACAAACTGTAGATCAATATCAAGACCTGCTACTGGGGAGGTATATATAACGTTTTACTTCAACGTCTGTCAAGTAAACGTTTTGTTTATGAGGCGACAGTTATCGCACAGGATGACGATTTTTTTTTCATATTAAACAAATGAGTTCTGTGGATAATATGACAACGCATATATGGGTTAATTACAAATAAGTTTAGTTGAAATTAATAGGTTCGTCCCCAACTTCTTCACTGCCATCAAAAAAGAAAACGGGTCATAGCTTCCACCCAAAATATGGAGGGCAATTATTACTGTACTGAAATAGCAAACTCGCCCGGGGTCTGTGGAGATGCATTTCTCTCTCTCACCTTTTGTATTTTTGTGTGCATTACTATGTGCTTTTTTTTTTTTACATGTTTGTTTTACTGTGAATGTGTCAGGTGCCCAAGTTCGTTTGAGCGGGGGACATATGTGCAGCACCCGTGTAGTAGTCGAGGCAACGGAAGGCCCTCTACCCCACCCCTGGCCGCACTGTTTGTAAACTTTGTGGCCAACCCGACTCTCACACCCTCCCTCACTTGCCCTATGACCTCCTCCTACAGGTCCCCAGCCGTTACCAACACCTCTTCCCGCCCTGACCAGATATCCCTCCTCCTAGTCACAGGCCTGGCACTTGACATTATTAGGGACCTGCCATGCTTTGCCATAAACAGATGAAATGTACCGGGAACTTTCCCCCCACACACTCATCATTATGTCACTTTATGTAACTTGCTGACAAAACCGATGACCCTTCAGGCTTTTACGCCCTTAATGCATGAGTCATAAAGGCAAGCATGAACTTAGCATGCTTACCAGATGGGCACTGTAAATGCTTCTGCGCTTCACATTGCACAGGATGTAAGGGGGTGCCCAATAAACTAGCCGCCTCCAGGGCAATCTAAAAAAAAAATCTAATCTCTATATTTGTGATGCCATATGGCAGCAGGGTCTACCATAGAAAACACATTATGCTTCCAATATCTTCCCAGGTGGTAGTACCTCCCTGTTTGATAGCTGCCTACTACTTACTAAGTTTGGAGTATTTGGTATTCCATGGTATCTTCTATGTTTGTTTCATATTTTGATTCCCCTCCAAGAAAAAAGTATTTGAATTAAAGTGACGGTGGTATTCCTTAATTACCAGGTACTGATATGGTTCTTGTATCTTACAGGTATGGTTTCAGCACGCCTCATAACTATAACGACCATGAGATTTACTGTGGTGGGTTTGCGGTACAGTGGCAGAAGAACGGCGGAAAGTGCGGCCCCTGCGGTGACCCCTGGCACATGCCACAGGTGAGATATGCCAACAAAGGATAAGTAATACTTTTCTTTTACACTCAGACAAAACTGGAGATTAAGTTGTATACTGTATACAACATTTAATCATGTAGCATACGGTAGATTATTTATTTCTAGAGTACTGTATATCAAATTGCCTTCACTCTGTATTAATATATCATTTAATACCTAATATGCAATGCGGTATATAAGTTCATGATATATACGGGGTATTTGAAAAGTTTTAGGTAATGTATATTAATATTTATTATTTCTTCCCACATAACTACAGCCGCGGGACAACGAAGGTGGCGGCAAGTATGGTCGAGGAGTAATAGTTAGGAAGTATAAGCATAGTAGTACAGTTCAGTTGGGTATTGAACTTACTGCCAACCACAGAGGCTTCTTTGAATTCCGTCTCTGCCCTCACAATCGACCTTCTATACCAGTAACAAACGAGTGCCTTGACAAATATGTCCTTCAGAAAGCTGATGGTTCAGGTCCAAGGTAAGCTCATTCACATAGATGTTTGCATCATTATCTAAATATGCAATGGAATCTGTTTCTGGATAATAATTTCTTCCACGCCTTAACATCTGTGTAATAAACTCAATTTGTTGGTGTTTTTCTGTTATGCTGGAGATACTAAAATATTTAAATACGTTAATTTCTGATTCAAGGGGAAAAGTGTTTTGGTCAATAGTTTGATAATTTAAATTTGTTCAGAATTTCAATATAACTGCACTGTGGGTGCTTCCCAATTTGTTGATCAAGGTAATTACTTGTCATAATGCCTCATGGAATAATTTTGTTTGCTTTGTAACAATAATTGCAAAAAACAACAACTTTTTTTTACTCTTTATCCAGCGTGTCAACAAGTCCTGAACCTTTATTGAGATTTTGAGCCCATTTAGATTCTCTAGAAACAGGACCCATACCCAACCCACCCTAACCTAAACCAACCCAACCCAACCCAACCCAATCCAACCTAACCTAACTCAACTCAATATAATCTAGCCTAATCAGAGCCTAACTAACTGAATATAGCTCAACACAACCTGGCCTAAGCTAACCCAATCCAACATAACATCCAACCCAACACAACCTAACCCAACCCAGCACAACCTAACCCAACCCAACCCAGTGTAGCCAAACATAGCAACCTAACCAAGTACGGTATGTTTTTTTACCAAAGTGTACCTCACAGTACCTTGTTGTAGCCTAATAGGAATTCCTGGGGGTTACCAGGGCAGTCTTAAAAGTGCCCAAAGGGAGTCTCAGTGGATCCCGATGGATCCCAAAGAGGCCCAAGGGATTCCTTTTGTGTCCCAGAGAGTGCTAAGACTTCTTGGGGAGGCCAATGGAGTGGTGGTCATGGTGGTCCTATAGTGTTGCAGGGGGTCACATGATCTCCCAGGGGATCAGAAGCTCACATGCAGTCCCAAGGGGTCACCAGTGGATACAGGAGTCCCAGTGGGCATCAGGGGTCTATTGGGGCCCCAGAGGAGTCAGGGTTCCCAGAGACCCGGAAGAGTGCTAGGTCTTCTTAGGAGCAGCCTAAGGGTTATAGAGAGCCCCATTGGAAACCAGGAAATCCTAAGTAGATCAAAGGAACATCAAGGGGATCCTTGGGATTCCTAGGTCCCTTGACCTCCTAGGGAGTCCTTGGTTTTCCCAGTGGGATATAATGGGATTCTCACCAATATGTCCTGCATTGGAATTCTGACCCAGTACAGATATGGGAAAGGTGTTATCTACTGTGACCATTCCAAACATCACAGGTTTCCTCCGGGTATGCCGGTTTCCTCTTGTACCAATACTGGATAAATTCTGTAACAAAGAACAGACCAGCACAAAGAACAGACCAACCTCTCATACAGCTGGTCCACCACCGATTTTCCGGCACACTTGGTTCCAAAGCCTTGCCGGATTATCCGTTTTGGCGGACCAACCGAGGTCAGGTAATAATAGTTCAACAATACACCTCTGACCCACTAATGATACACCTCCTGTGTCTCTAAAGCACCATGGACTGCTAGAAACTTAAATTAAACAAATATTAAATGTAAATTAAATGTGAAAAAGCCATAATTTTGAGCAACATTACTGTACACACTTTGCACTCAAATGTACTGTGGTACACTAGACTAAAAACATTATCTCTTGTGCAAACTATGTGATGTTTAGACTCAAATTAATCACTTATTTACAAGGATTCCAGCAATTTAATTTATATTCTGCCAAGTCTAGTCTGCGACATTTTATAAGATCAAAACCTTAACCCTAAACTGCCTTCACCCTGGCTGTGAGAAAGGGGGGGGGCGGGGTGTTGACAGCTGTCAAAGAGGGGAGATAACAAAGTGTGTAGTTATCAAAACAGAAGGAGTTTTAGTTTCCCCTTATAAAATGTCACTGAATTGACTTGGCAGTAGTATATAATTTGCATTGCTGGAATCCTTGTAAGATAGTGAATAATTTGATTATAAACATCACATAGTTTGCACTAGACATAAAACAAAAATTATTTAACTTATTACAGGTTTACCATTAGGACAATTGTTTCTTTTACTTCTTTCATAATATATATTTAAGATGGTGTGTGCAAGTAAATGAGTAAAATTAAATGAAGAACGTTACATATATCTCCCCAAAAATATGAGTTAAAAAATTGTACACAAATGTACTACACTAGACTAAAATTTATATCTTGTGTAAAACTATGTGATGTTTATACTCAAATTAATCACTATCTTACAAGAATTGCAGCAATACAAATTATATTCTGCTAAGTCTAGTCTGCTACATTTTATAAGATAAAAACTTTAAGCCTAAAACTAGCATCACCCAGGCTGGGAGGGAGGGAGGGAAGTTAAGCGCCCCCTCATAATTTTGTCCGGGCTAAAGGAGGTGCCGGACCATCAGTTCCCGGATAAATTAAATAAAATTGTAAATTAATTTGAAAAGGGTCCAAGAAGAACTAAGTGGGTCCTAAGATTTCACTCAGGGTTCAAAGAGCTGATTTGTCTTAACAAAATGTCAGTCACAGGTGACATAGTACTACTTCAGAAAAGAATGTAAACAAGATTGCAACCAGAATTAATTTATAATTTATTCACCAGGTACTTCCCGGAACCTGGTACCAAGATATTCTATGCCAAGTATCGCCTCCCTCGAGGACTGACGTGTACTCAGTGTGTACTACAATGGCGTTACGTAGCTGGCAACAATTGGGGGCGCTGTGAAAATGGTACAGGTATGGTAGGTTGTGGGCCCCAAGAACAGTTTCGCTCCTGTGCTGATATTACGATAACTGAGGAAGATGGATCTGCAGATGACACTCCCAGTATTGTGCCTGACTACATTGATTATAATGAAGTGGATGTGGATCCCACTCTTGATCCTGAGGAGCACGTTAATCATATTGGACATATTGTGGCACTCACTCTGTCCTTCTTGCTTATACTTCTTGTACTGTTTGGCCTTGTTGCATACTTTTACTGGGCACGTGATGCATTCAAGGGTTTTATGAAACGTCAGGCTGGACAGTGGTCTAAGGCTACTGCTCCAGAACCTCTAACAAAACAAAAAAATTCCATAATATCAATTTCTGGCCCTATTGGTGCTCCACCACCTGTTCCACCACGTCGCCACAGGTCTCTGTCTGGAGGGGATCCTGCTGTAGCACCTGATCCACGAGAAATTAGGTCCATCAGCTCTCCAACCAGGGTTACCATCAATGGCATTGCTGTGAACTCTGATAGTGCAAGTAGTGGTGCTTCACATGCTCACCTGCATGTACCTGATGATTAAATCATTTGTATATAAATGTATTTTGTCATACATGTCTTGTGGTGTACCATTTTTTTATACTGTACTTAATAGTGACTGTATTTTCTACTTTATGTTAGTTCTTAGGTTTAAATGAGACAAAATATAAACATATAAAAAATTCAGGGAGACAAATGGGAGTATAGAACTCAAGGCTATCTGAAAATTTTGCAATGTTATTTATTACATGTTTTTTATACAAGTGTATGGATGACATTAATGGCATTTTGAAATGTAAAATGCAGCGGATTCAAATATGTACAGTAATTAGAGCCAATTGCAAGATCAGCCGTGGTGTACACCATGCTGTGGCATCCCAGCGGTTGCAATACAATGGAGTAAAAATAGTGTGACTTTTCAAGATGGGCCATGGTGGTACCCGACCGTCGTTTGTTGTTACTATGTCATCGTAGTGTAGTCAGGTGTACCAACTGGCGAAAGACTTGGGGGTTGGTATGCTTGCACCCTTAAAATGTTGTCAGTGGCACGAAATGTTTACTCTTGCTACATGATTTACGAGCATGAAAAACTTGAATCCCAAGCTAAGGTGCACCTCATTTTCCTATTTTCTTTGATTATAAGCCAATTCTGGGAATGAAATATGATCACTTACAGTGAATAAACAATAAAGTAATAAGTTTGTCACAAAGTTTGGGATGGGTGAGTGTAAATAAAGAGAACTTTGGCCTGTTCTGTGGATGAAATCAATAGAATATAACAAAGTACAGTATTAGGTATTATAATTTTGCTATGACAGTGATGAACTCATTGTGCAGATGAATTGGGATAAAATCTTGAAAAAAATATCACCATAACTGTTAGTTTTCTATCAAACAGGAAATTGTTTTTGTACCAAAAATTTTTACTTTCATATTATACAAGTATAAAGTCCAGTTATCTACAAGATATGAAAACTTGAGATAATGTTTCGACTTGGCTCCACCTGATTATAGTAATGCAATAAATACCCTTTATCTTTCAA